GATTAGTCTCGCTGATCAGTGACCCTTCATTCCTGTTACCATAAATTGAAAATATAAGTAATTATAAGATTTATAATGGTTTTATACATGTTTGTGTTTTGTGAATTTATAATCAAAATTCAAGCGGATAACCAAATGGAAATGGTATTTACCATTTTGGGTTGGTATTTACCAATCCGTTCAAGCGAGTGTAGTTATCAGTTTGGTTATAAGATCCGTGACGTCACGAATCAGCTGTTATATGTCATAGTTATCACCGCAAAATTGTGGTATTTACCCAACTCAAGAGTAGTTTTATATTTCTGGTTATTATTTGAAATGTGACAAGTTAGAATTTTGCCGGGTATTGGATATTGTTATTGTACTTCAGCTTCATTTTTGAGAAAAATGATTCAGGCTGACTTCAGTTTTACCATAAAGTGGGGCACCTTATTAGTTATACTCATTACGGTTGTTGGGGACACTTTAAATGTAGTTCCTATGCTTAACAAAGCATCCTGTGTAGCCATATACCACAAGAATATTAAAATATGGCCATATAAACTCACTAGATGATATCCACCTGTATACGGTTTTGCTAATTTCTTTTTTTATCATTTCTGCTGAATCAATAAATGTTTTCTTTGACATGCGGAAAAATTTAGAGAATTGAAAGTTATCATAGCTACAAAGCCATGGTTCCATCATTAAATAAAAATCTGAAAAACACATTTCTCCCATGAATATTGTGAAAGGTTTCTTATTTAAACCTTCCATATACAGTTGTAGACGAAAAAGCACCGATTATTAAGTGATAATAAAAATAATCAGAGATTATATGCTTTTCTAAAATAAACAACTTGCAACAAAATCGCGGTTAAAACCAACGCGTTCAAGCGATTCGTGTAACTGACGTCATCAACCCGTGTGTCATCTTGAACCATATTATAACCGCGGCACATAACACAGAAATTTTGGTTATCCGCTTGGATTTGATTTTGGATTTGATTATTGACAGTGAACAAATTTTGACATTTCAATAATGACAACACTCAGCACAGCACTCAACCAATCAGACAGGTCTTATTCACAAGTGTAGCAGGTTTAGAAATCACGCTAGCGGTGCCTATAACGACGTGACAATTGACAGTATCAATGTCAAATTTGAAATCGACACAACGGAAAAAAGTTTTTGGGTGTTAAGAGTTAAGAGTACACTTTTTGAGGAATACGAGCTTATTACCCATATTCCTGCATTGTAAATTCAAAATGAGTGATTACGATTTCAACAGCACCGGGTGTTTAGAACGCATCAAAGAGATTATCAAAGACTTTCCTAGTGGGATGACTCCAAGGATGTTGAAGTCAATTCTTAAAGTCAGCTACGTCGATGAGATTTTGCTCAGCATGGTGTGCCCCCTGACCAACAACATGATCAAGTGTCTTGAGTACACGTGGAAGGAATTTGATATCCCATCAAAAATGATGCATTTGAAACAATTAGCGGAAAATTCTCCCCAAGAAGAGGCTTGGCGACCAACGACTGGACAAGCCAACTCAAATTCCATCATAGCCGAAGCACTACTAACAAGAAAAGCAGGGCTAGAAAGGCTGATAGCACTAAAGAAAGCAGAACGTGAAGAGATTGTAAAGCTCATTCAAGAACAATATGAAACAGTGCATCAGCAGTTAAACAATATAGATAAATGTGGGCGTGAAAATAATACAACAGAACTGAAAGAATCAGAATCCCCTGAATTGTCATTATAACTGTTCATTTCTTTCATTTTTTGTAGGCAGTGGCAAAATCGCATTGTGCGAAAATAAAATTTCATCCGAGCAGTATTTCTAATGTTCTAGGCAGTTATACGTGGACTGACGGAAATGAGTGACATGGTTTTTTGTGGTGACCAGTTGGGGAATTAGCAAGAAATTTAGGCATACTTTTTGATGTGAATCTAAAACTTATTCACTATATAAATAATGTAAGCAAAAGTTGCTATGCAATTCTGAGATTGTTGTATCCAAGTAAACAGGTACTTGATTATGTAGTCCAGAGAATATTGTGCAAGTCTTTGGTATCTCTGCTCACATACTGCCTTGTGGTATATTTTCCTTTCTTGTACTGTGAAGCAGTAGGAAAACTCGAAAAAAATGCAAAACACCTGCTGAAGATTGACTCAGAATCTTAGAAAGTTTGACCATATCAGTGCTACTTTCTGAGGACTGAATCTGAGACAATTATATGCTTTCAACATGCTGACACACACATACTTTTAGATAGACCTGTGCCCCTATATTTGAGAAAGAAACTGATTGTGCATAGATATACAGGGTGTAAAGTTAGTAGTGGATGTGGATCAATGGAAGTCTGGTGATAGAGGGCCTCAAAACCTATCAAATGAACCCCTACATGTGTGGTCCGAAATTTTATTGTTTGGAGTAGATTTGCAATTTTGTGAAATTTCGAAAAATGGGATATGAACTTTCAATTGCAATTACACTAAAGCATTACTTTTAGGGCTGTGATTTTTTTTCCGAGATGAGGTAAATGTTTGTTTTAGAAATCGTTATGTCACTTTTAACACAACTTTATTAGAAATCAACACAAAAAATCTTAAATTCCTTTTTTGTGAAAAATCTCTTCCATCTTTGGAGGGCGGTAAACAAAATTGAGGTTATTCATTTTATTGCAAAAACTATTTCAATCCATGTAGAATAAACCCTGAAAATTTCAGCTTGCTACAATGAGTGTATCATGTCACATTCATTATTGTGATGTGATAACGTAAGAAACGCAATATAATCCTTAGCACCCTACAAGTACAGAACCTATTGTGTTTTAGCCATATTTATGGCAATTTAATGACAAATGTGGAAAATAATTTAATTTAACTAACTTTTAAAGAACATCTTCGAAATGGCCTTCATTATTTTCTATACACAAGCAGCACCTAATAAAATTGTCCTTTCGTCTTTGAAATGAATTTGTTTTCCATAATTTTTATTTTTGCTTCATCAATTTTCTGGCGCAGTTGGTTGACATTTTTATATTCAGATGTATAAAACCACCATATAAAAAAAATCTAGAAGATTTAAATCGGGTCACCTTGGAGGCCATCGTATGTGACCACCTCTTCCTATCCAATGCCCAGGAAAGGCACAAATTCCGTGCTGGACCATTGCCCGACTTAGTGATGTCGGTCGGACCGAAGATTGAACGCTCCCGCGATTTGGCTATTTGCGTAGAAAATCCGCCATTTTGATTTTACAAAATGTTAATACACACAGTATCACTCGCACTGCTAGGCAAATCTAACAGTACCTCATATGTCAAAATTCAACAAGTCGTTTGGACTGTAGCTCGTAAAATAGAATTTCTTGTTTACATGTATAGATACCTGCGTCAAACACAGATTTTTTAAGGTGAGGCACTTATAGTAGCAAGCTAAAATTTTCAGGGTTTATTCTACATGGATTAAAATAGTTTTTACAATAAAATGTATAATGAAATACAACATCAATTTTTTACTGCCCTTCAAAGTTGAGGGATGGAAGAGATTTTCACAAAAAAATGAATTTGATTTTTGCGTTGATTTCTAATTAGCTCTGTTAAAAAGTAACAACCACTGCTAAAACTAACCATTTAGCTCATCTCAAAAAAAAGTCACAGCCCTCAACCTAATGGTTTAGTTGTAACTGCGATTGAAAGTTCATTATGCCGTTATTTTTTTCGAAATTTCACATTATTGCAGATATCCCCTGAACTATAAAAAAATTTCGGACCTCATATATAGAGGATCATTCGACATGTTTTGAGACCCTCTATCACCTGACTTCCGTTGATCCACTACTTTACACCCGGTATCCATTCCTGAAATATATGATACAATAACAATGCAACTATAGGACTGCTTTCTTTCGGAATAGTTTTACATACAATGCCATTAAGTTGTATAACTCTGCCAGATACCAATAAGTCATTTTAAGAAAATAAATTTAAACCAGAAGTTAAGATGTATATATTGTGCAATAGAAATACTGACATAATTAATACTGTTTTGTGGTGCATTCTCATTGTTTTCTACTGTATTTTATACTGTTAGTGTCTCGTATTTATATTGCTAGAGCCTTTTATGAACATTCCTAATTTTATCCAGTTTGAAGAGTTGTAACTGTATGGTTGCTATTACTTTTATTGTATTTGTTTCACCACCAAATGAAATTTTTTCTGTTTTAAAAGGCCTAAGTGGAAGGAAGAATAGCTTGTGGCTAAACTGCGCCCTAATAAAAGCCAACTATTATTATTTTATAACATCCAAAAAACAATTCTCATTTTCGAAAATGTTCGCGATTACAATACTTTCCCGCCAGTAGGCGTGGGAAGTGAAAGCAATATTCTAACGCAACAAAAACATTTTCTGATAGACATGTAGAGTTTTATTATCCAAAATCTTCCTATTCCCTCGCCTATCGGCCGGATCGCGACACGCTTATATTCATCTATTGGAAATATTTCTCTATCATTTTGAGGACAAATCTGTCGTGTGACAGCAGAACCTAGTAAGTCACTTTTTATCAGGTTTGAGAAATAACATATTTTCAATAAACATTCGGCTTTCGAAAAGTTTAAGTTTTATGAATATTAAAAAAATTGTCTGAAGGGTTGTGTAACTTGCTAAATTCGATAGCATCAATTTTATTCATGTGATAGTTTTGTTTATGGTAGAAAAGTGACTTACGTTTTTTTTTTCATGGTTTCTTTTTCGATATTAAATTAAGATACTTTAGCAGAAAATGGTAAGTCAACTTACTGATTTTTACAAAATTTCGACTAGAGAAAATAAAAAAAAAAGATATTGTAAGTGTACTTACTAAGGTTTTATTTGATATAATTTATGTGCGAAGGCGAACACAAAAAGTAACATATCTACTTACTAACTGGAAAATAAACATTTGAATGAAAAACGGTGGAACATAAAACAGCAAGTCTACATACAAGAAGAACCAGAACTTAAGCGCTAAGCCTCTGATACCACACATAAGTCTTTGGAATTATCATTAGATGGCAAAAACTGCCAAAATAGTTTCTTTCTTTCATCTTTGAAGGATGGTACCAATTTTTTTAAAATTGTTTCTCTTTTTTCTGAGTTCACTCCCAGTGGCTCGACAAAAGGATGTATAGGGAATTTGAGATCAACTTTTTTTTTCAAAAACTCGACTTCCTGAAAGACATTATGGCATTCTTTATAAAACAAGTGTCTGCATCCTTTGCGAAACTGAGCGAGCTTAATTTTTTCAAGAAGAGGTATATTATTGCTTTTTCTTGTTTGCTTCCATCTTCAAAGAGGAAAAAATCAAAATTATTTATAGGCAAACATTTAGTTTTTTTTGAGGACTGCTCAATTATTTTCAGAAGCTGTTCAAAATCATAAATGTTTGGGTGTTTTTTTCATTTCTGTGCTGATTCGGCCATGAACCGAATCCGCAGCCATAAATGAATGGCCTGGTTCAAAATATTTTAGGGTGATCTCTTCTGGACCCCATTCACAATTTACAAAAGTCGCAAAAGCAGAATATAGTGTCCAATTCTTGTTCTGAGCAGAACAGTTGTCTACCCAGAATGTAAATTTTTTGGTAACATTGTCTGAATTTTTTATTACGTTGTAGTATGCCGATGCAACATCCGTCGCGGACCTGCCTCTTATAGCCTCATGCCACATCACAAAAATATTTCCGTCCTTATGAAGTGACGCAAACGTCTCATTGAATACGACCAACCTGCAACAACAAATATAGAAGTATATAAAAGTTTAATACAATTATATATAATTATAAACGAAGTACCTTGAAACAAAAAAAGATTCCTTGGTTGACATTTTGGGCAAGAGTAAGACTTTCTGCATATCTACAGCATAGACCTTCTCATCTTGCATTACCTCTTGATTGGAGTCATTTTCATAGTGCTGTCTTGCTTCCGTATAACTTTTTTTGTGGTTTTCGAATTGACAACAAATCTTGCAACTACTTGCGTCGCATTGGCGAATAATGTGAACTTTATGTTTTAGACACTGAGCGCATTCGTCTTGGGATGGCTTTTTAAACCCAATATTCTGTTTTTCAAAAATTCTTCTGTATAGATCATATGAAATTTTCTGTAGATTACAGAAGTCTTGCCACATGTATTTAATGGTCAAGTCAGGTGGCAAGAATCGTCTATTCGGGGTGTGCTTTAAATTATAGTGAGATACTACCGGATTGAATGAGTTTATATGCTTTATGACAATTTCCTCTGTTCTCATTTTTTGTTCTTCTAGCATGCCTCTAATAACTAACCCCCTTTCATCCACTGTTTGTGCAATTCCTTCTACACTTCGCTTTTTGGAATGTATATGGCAAGTTATCATACCATCTGTTTAAGTCCTAAAGTATGCAAAAACATTGTTTTGCACACTTGTATTTTTTCAAATTTAGCTTCAGTTTCCACTGGAAGGGGTAGAAAATATTTCAGAGAAACATTCCTGGAAGAGCGCTGAGCCTCTTGCCGCCTTACTTTGATTTCAAATTGTTTGATATGAGCATCCAAAAAAAGTCTACGCTCGCCAAAGCTGAGTCTCCAGAATTTCGTTCTTATCAATTCTCTAAAGTTCTCATCATTGATTTTTGAGCTACATTTCTGCCTGCAATTATTATGGCATGATAGCAGTAGGGGGTGCTTTTTCTTGCTTGTCTGGCCTTTCTTGGGAAACTCTGCAGTTTGCATTCACATTCTCGTTGACTTTTTTCAAAGGCTGCCTGTTTTTGAGGGGCGCAAGCGATACGTCATCAAAGTCCGAAAATTTAATTTTTTTCCTTCTAGGGGATACTGACGGCTCATAATTTGGGTCTGCATCAGAATCGTCATAATCTGATATAGGTTCTTCATCATGTTGCTGACGCTCTTCGAGAGGTTCATTTCTGAAAGATAAAATAAATAGAGGTCAGCGGTTTGAATATATATTTCAAATACGAAAACCGTATTGCAAGAATTAGCTTTTTGTTTGTAGTAATTATAATCTTTTATTTTACTGAAAAAAAACATCAAACTGCAATGTTACTCCTGAGTTAATATTTCATTTGGCTTATATGTAATGTATGATGCTTGCACTCACCTCTCTGTAATGCATAAACTCGTTATGAATTTTCCTCTCGACATATTCTGGATATTAACTACAGTACTAACGTTAAACTAATTCGCGACTGTCCTCACCGATCCACACTCTATGCCAGTTGGAACATGACTGCGGAAACGCTGTAGCATGCATCCGTGCCTACACTCAATCGGCTTGAAATCATGGCATGAAAATTTAGCAAAAACTAGCAAGTGCGTTTACGACGGAGTCTCCCGCCAATTTCCTACAAAAAAAAATCTTCAAAACGTAGCATGTAGACATGCCATCATTTGTTGATTTTTTAAATGCTGTTCTGATGACTTACTAGGAAACATGAGACAAAGATATACGATTTAGAGTGCGTCTGAGCGAGAGAAAAAAATTCAACTAGTAGAAATTTTTACGGGCTTTTCAAAAATGACGTAAAATGTAAAACCTAGTAAGTGACTTACTAGGTTCTGCTGTCACACGACAGAAATGTACGGGAAAATCTGTAACTTTTGAAATATATCTAATAGGTGCGTAGAATTACCGGGGCTGGGAGCTATATACATATACTAACATCCAAAAATTCTGTAGTGCGAAAGGCATGGTATCAAATTTTTTAAAATCAATATGTTACAAAATCAAATCTATAGTCAAAATCGAATAATATGAACATTTAGAGTGAAAGTAAGTTAACATTCTTCCGTGTCTCTACCTCTCTGGCAGTGAGGAAACAAGTTCGTAGATTCATGTTAAAATTTTAACAGCACCCCTTCCACACAATATTCACTAATCTGACTTAGACATTCAAATTTTTTTCTTCAGCAGTGTTGAAAACGTTTTCAGATGGATAACACGCTTTATATGCTTCCTCCACAACTGGCATAGAAATCAAGTCGTATATGGAAACATTACAGACGCTTTTTGGTTGAATTGTTGCTTAATAACACGAAATGCCCGTCTAACGAAGGTCGAGTGTCAATGGAGAAAATGTTTTGCATCTCAGTGGTTTGTTACAGATTTAAGTAGGAAATGTTAGAAAACCAATATACAGATATAAAAATCTCTAGTAAGTTATAAATTCAAATAATGAAAGATACATGTGGGAATACAAAAACTCGTAGCTTGAGTTCAACTTAGTCCAGTTATCTTCATGGCCCAAAAAACCACTTATGAACAATTATCCTTAAGTAGTGGTGGTGATCTTTTAAAATATTGGTGCTATTGACTGATTACACATTACAAACTGAAATTCTGTCGAAGGTCTTGAAACGAAACGAAACGTAGACTTTTTATAAGTTTTATCCAATATCATTAACTTAATCATAATAAAAAGTAATTCAAACAGCTTGTTTTTGTTGTTCCTTTTTGGTAGCCTCAATAGCAGCTTCTGACTTCTCATATTCTGCAATTAATTCTTCAACTTCCTTGTTGCTGAGGATATTTATGACTGTTTTGTCATTTATACGCGACAAGGTAGCCATCTCGACTAGAAAAAAATAAATAAAAGTAGAGACATTTCCTTTAATGATAAATTATTTAATGTAACATCCCTCATAGTTTAGCATTCGCGTATGGTTATAGATGAAAACTAGCAACCTAAATTGAAACGGAAGTATTTGGATATTCAGTGCCAACTAAGAAAATAGCTTATTTTGTTTTCACATTCATTATATCGCAGGACGATATGTAATACATATTTGACGGAATTTTGATTTAGACAAAATTTATAGGTACCAAGGGAAAATGTATAACCAGTGGACTGAAATTTTAAACTACGAAAAAAACAACTTTCAAACATGATACAAATGCCATTGAATTAATGAAACATGAAATTAGAGGCAAACCGACCACCATAATGAGCCAGCGCATAGGCTCCTTATGCACCTCTACATTCCTTAGATCTCAAGCCTCGCCATTCTAGCGAAGATGAGTATGGCCTTCATTCCAAGCTCCTTAACGTACTGGGGTCCAAAGTGATGGATCCCAGTATAGTCTGCCAGTAGTAGCCAAGTGCCTAACGGCGACACAGAACGTGCGCCGAGGTCTCTTCCTCTACCCCTCAGCGCTCACACAAGGGATCCTCAGCTACTCCCATCACGTGCAGGTGGCGCCTTAACGTGTTATGGCCAGACAACAGTCCCACCAGCAACCTCAGGTTGGCTCTATCCAAAGATAAGCAGAAACGTCCATCCTTAGCGCAGCGCTGGGTCCTACAATGAGTTCCCGTGCCTGACGGAGATGCTCCTCCATTTGTGAGAGTGTTATCTTGCAATCCACTTCTTCATTACTCCTAACTCTTTACGCGGACCAACGACCTTGCTGGCTGATCTTGACTTCGCCAGAGCGTCCGTCGTGTCATTGCCCTTTATCCCAGCGTGCCCCGGTAGCCACGCTAACAATACCGGATGCCTCGCTGCTAGACAATCCAGAGCCTCCCTGCATTGCAATATAAGGCTCGAAGTAATCTTACAGGTACTTATTGCCTTCATTGCAGCCTGGCTGTCGGAGAAGATTGTTATTATTCTCCTAGTCCCCTCCAAAATTAGGGATACACAAGCCAAAATCGCAAAAGATGCAGAGGCAGAGATACCCTAGTTCTAGGCCCAGAGACCTCAGCGCCAGATCCCTTTTCGGTGACTGAGCAGTCCGTGTACCAGACTTGCCTACTCACTCCGGAGAGCCTCCGGCAACCGGCGTCCCACTCCTCCCTCGTTGGATACTCCACATTAAACTTGCAGTTGAAGCGATAATTAAGGGTAATTAGATCATCCTTGGTCAGAAGGACGGGATCCTCTCTTTGCAGTTCGACTAAGATGGCAGTATGACCCTTGACAGGATTCAAGAAGGCCCAGCTGCCCTGACTCCACAGTCGTTGTGCGACTACTCTCGCTTCTCCGCGGATCACTAGATCCAATGGTGGGAGATCCAGCAGAGCTTCTATTGCGCTTGTAATGCTGATACAAGCCAAACGCTAAATTTTATTGAGTTTGGCCTTAGTCGCCACAGTTCCGATTCAAGGCCACCAAACCAAGGAGCCATACAAGAGAGATGGATGCATTATCGTCATGTAGAGCCAGTGAACCACTTTGGGTTCAAGCCCCCACCTTGGAACGACGACGCGTTTACAAGCCCACAATGAATTGCGAGCCTTGTTAACCTTGAGTTCAACGTGCTCCCTTCAGTTCAGTTTGCAGTCCAGGATAATTCCTAGTTATTTTACTGTTTGGGATAGAACTAATTTACTCCCAAAGAAGGTCGGCAAGACAAGCCCGTCAAGCCATCTTCTCTTAGTGAATAGGATCAGCTCGGTTGTCCAGCGTTGGCAGAAAGATCGACTTCCCTACACCACGATTCCACAGTGCGCAGAGCGCCCTGCATAATCTCAGAGACTGTTCTACAAAAACAACCTCTAACTACTATGCTTGAGGCATCCGCCCTGCCCTGCGGGCAGCCTCGAGCTACGCTGACGCTGCATGTTACCTCATTCAGTATAGCTGTTGCTACCCGACCCTTCACATCGCGCTGCGGCATCATGGAAGAGAACAGCGGTAGAAAAGAGCTAGATCGCCGACGGCCCGCTGGTGCGAAAGACTCGCGAGACTGTCTGTTAGAGAAGTGTCGGTCGGACCGCCCTCCTCTGGACAGCATCGAGCGTGGATAATGTAGTCGGGGCGGCAGAATCCCGAACGTGTGAGCAATACTCGAGGCTAGGCCTTATCTGGGCCTTGTATAGAATGAGAAAGTCGTGCGGAGAAAAGTACTTCTTAGCCCTAAACAAATAGCCTAGCTTTTTCCCAGCAGCTGCAGCTATTGACGAGACGTGTTCGTGCCAGATCAGGTCCTCGGGACTCCGACCAGCCCAAATGAATGGCTCTTTGGCAGAAACCGGATAAGCGCTAGGACGCTTTTTGTTCGACAAAGTACAGTACTCCTCCAGGTCTCTTGTCAGAGAGGAAGTCGTCGCTAGTCTTCTTTTTTCCATCTCAAGGCAGAGATCGGCTTGTCACTCTGAATTCCTGCATGTAGAGTGCTGTCATCAGCGAAGCTGTGGATTGGGTTGATCGTGCAGGAAAGGAGGTCGTTGATATGTAAGAGAAACAATGTCGGAGCCAAGACCGATTCCTGGGGAACACCCGCGTTGACCTTGTGGGATGAAGAGGAGAACCCGTCAATTACGACGGATATCTTGCGGCCAGAGATAAAGTCAGCCACCCATCTGCAAAGCTTTTCTGGGAGGCCATAGGATGGAAGTTTGCTTAAGAGGGCAGCGTGCCACAGCTGATCGAACGCTTTCGTGATGTCAAGAGCGACGACATGAGCCCCACCATAAGAAGCTCGTGATTTATGCACCTCTCCATCACCTTACTTATAACACAAAGCAGAAGCTATAGGCATGTAGGTGTAAGGGTCGGTCTTAGATCCTTTTTTTGGGATGGGTTGCACATGAGCAAATTTCCAGTTTTCTGGGAATGTTCCGGATTCATAAGATATCTGGAAGAGACGCGAAAGAACTGGAGCAAGCTCCGCTGCACACTTCTTCAGTACAATGGCAGGAATCAAGTCCGGACCAGAAGCTTTGTTGATGTCGAACGACAAGAGCACTCATCTTACGGTCTTATGCCTGAATGTTACCTCGGGCATAGTGTAGGGAACCCTTTGAATTGACGGGACTTGGGCGTTGGGGGGACGTGGTGGAAGGCTACTGTGTGAGAAGTTCTTTTCAATCTGCTTGGCCAGCGTCCAGAAGACCGACTGCCATTGCGCTGCGACATTACCCTGTGCCTAACCGCTTCGTTATATTTGTTTCTGGACTCGACGTCGGCTTGTCTGTTCTCTACAGTGGGGTTTTGTAAGAAGGTTCTGTGTGCCTTGATCTTCTGCTGTCGAGCACTGTCACACGGCATGTCCGTAATGCTAAGTTTTGCGGCCTGTACGAGGTTCTGCTGCCACAGCGGGTTCTGACCGAAACCTAACCTCAACACCGCGGTTTGAGTTACCCAGGGGGACAGGACAGCAGTGCTGTAAGGGACAGGATGCGTGGTCAGAAAGACATCCAGCAGGCTACTGGCGTGTGACGAGACGCGGGGGAAAAAAGTAGGGCTCGTCACCAGCTGGGTCAGCCCTTGAGTAAGAGCGAACGCTTCGACCTGCTCCATCAATCTTGTTTGATAACAACCAAAGCTCATTATGGACATTGAAATCACCTAGAAGAACTACCTCTGAAGCGGGGTGATTGATGTTGAGGAAGTCGATCTGGACGGCGAGGTATTCGAGTAGGTCATCCCAGTTATGGTACGAGGGAGAGCGATAAAAGCAGCAAATAAATTTGGGTAATGTTTTGGAGTTGAGGCGAAGCCACAGAATGTCCGGTCTGATTCCATAGAAACATCTCTGGGGCAGAAAAGACTGCTGCGAACAAAAGCCACAACTCCCCAGTTCTTTCTCAGATTGGAGTGTACCTGGTAGTTTGGGAAATTGAGATGGTCAATCGGTGCAGACTCTGAGAATTTTTTCTCCGCCAAAAAAAGCACGGCGGGACGATTGGATTGCAGGTAGTGATGAACAGCATCAATGTTGCTGTTAATCCCGCAGATGTTCGAAAAACAAATTTTATCCTTCGATGTTGTTCCCTCGAGCCCACCCTCCACCCCGACATTCCGAGAGTGGAGTGAGTTTACGTCCGGAGTTCTTAGTGCTCGAGGGATCCATCATCATTAATTTCTTTGTTTTGGAACATAACCAACTGCATGCTTAGGTGTGGAAACATGCGAACATTTAAGATATGGGAAAAGCTAGCGGGTGGTACCGCCTCGGTCGACTGGTCCTTGTCTACCTTGTCTTCTTGCATGATAATCATGTTAAATAGACCTAAAGTGGTCCGTTGGTATGCAAACTGATTGGAATGAATGAAACACCTCTCAAGCGGACCATCCCTCAAAAATCTGTCAACTAAATACCATTTAGCTAAATAAATTCAATAGTTCTTTATTGAAAATAACAAGTATTCAACTCTATCGGTTTTGAAACAAGAGAGTCAAATAGATTGAAAACTCACAGACCCTAAGGCTAACGGTTGTGTTTGAGTAAAGTGTAGAAAAAGAACAGTAGTAAAAACAATATTAAAACTGCCAGAGAAGTGGCACCAGAGTAGTCACAAAAACGTACATGATCTAGAAAAAACTAAGATATAATAGTTATTGTATGTAATTCAAGATTTTTGAATTCAAGAATCGTTTTTTACAAAGTTCCAGTAATGTACCATTGAAATTTACAAAGATATAATTACCAGGGTAAATAGTGGAACCTCTGGCAAAACGGTTTTTAGTTTCAAACTATCATGCTTGACGTACTGATCAAATAAGCATTTTGAATTGCACAAGGTGAGGGCGACACAATTTTCAGGAAGCACTAAAACCGTGTTTTTATGCTATAATACAAATGTTTAGTCTCGTTTCATGAAAATTGTTATGTACCAATATAAAAACATTCTTATATTGTAATACCAGTTACATATACAGAGATTTGTTAATGTTTGTAGTGAAGATCAGGAATGGAACACACCAGAGAAGTATACATTCTGTTAATTTTCAAGCATGACTTTATTGCTTGGTACTCTTCAATTCAAGGAGTCAGTACAAACCTTTTTCAGAGGTGAGTTTTGCCATATCCAAAGTTTTCACCAAAACCTTAACAGCCAAAGCTTTAGCATCTTTCAGAGTCATTTCTCCCTCTTTATACTCTTGCTTCAAACTGGAAATTGCTGCCTAAAACAGATGTGAATGTATTCCTAAAATTTTATAAAATAATTTGTCATACTGAGCTATTGTTTCCTATGCAAGTTGCTTTCCATCCACTGTAGTTCCCACTTGGGTCAGATTGGTACAGTTGGTAGCCATAATGTTTATCCCAACCCATGTAGAGAATAGATACACCAAATGGTCTTTTACCTAAAATATTACACAATCTAGAAAAATCAAAAAAGTGTTTTTCAAAAAGAAACAAATTTCATTAACTCAACAATGCACAATAGTCAGATCCATTTTTCTCATTGTTTTTTCAGCTACTTGACAGTTGATCAAAGATGTATATCAGTGAGAAAACAAGTAATCATCTTACAACTCCATCTTTGTATCAGCTACAAAGTATCTAAATATCTTGACATTTACCTCCATATTGTGTATAAGCTTGCTTAACATCACAAAGCCAAGAAACTAGCTGTTCACAAGGGATTGATTCTCCATATTGGAACAAATATCTCTGTCCTATCAATCTTAATTCATTTGTAAGAACATTTGCATCTGAGGTAATTCCTGCGACACTACATACCATGTCACTGCAATGAAATATTTACATGTCTTAAAAACTAGAGTTGTGAAATGTTAGGGAAAGTCTGAACTAGAAAAAAAGATAATCTTGATCATAGTCTATAGGTACTGTTATTTGCAGCATCACAGGTATTTTATATCTGTAGTTACAACTAGTCCCCCAAGGCTACCCAACACTTTATAAATAATCACCCAGCTGTCAGGTAATTACTCAGCCTGAATGCAAGATACAGCTTCTATGGATCAAAGAATTGCTGATGTGATGTGCAACATCTGAGTTCATATGCTTATTCCAAACCTTCCTGATGGGTTCTCCACGAAATTAACACACTGTCAAGAAAATAGCTAAGCTAGCAACAGATTTTTGCCAGAATCAGTTGCCCGACTTAGATGATGTTTTAGTCAATGTCAACCTCCTTCTCCAGTAAGATAGTGTGTTTATGGTATTTGGTGCAGCCTATTTTTTATATACAAGGTGTTTTATGTTTTTATAAAATATATGGTAGTCCATGGAGCAGCTACTATAGGAGATTTAATTGTGCCTTTTTGTATTCATTATTTGCTCTTTTCCCTTTCATATGTATACTCAAAGACACTACAAAACAAAATAAAATAATGCTGCAAAAGTCACCAACCAAAGGAATAAATAGCATCCTGCATTTCTGCAAATAAACTTTACTCATATGTAATTTAGGTTTAGTCATTATATATTCTACCTGAACATAGCCAACATAATGGTATATTAATTATAATTTGTCACAGCTGTTTCTCTATTTATTAGATATACTTTGGAAAGATTAGAGACCCATAGATAGTGCTGTCTATAGTCTTTTTCACCAGTACCATTATCGTAGAATGACAGCTGATTACTTAGTATTATTTCAAAATTCCCCATATTGGCAAAGGACACATAATTCTGATGGATCTGTCAATGCCAAGTAGACAGAAGTATTTTGAGGCCCGAAGGGAAGACAACCAGCAGGCATACGTATCGCTTGGGTTACCTAGCCAATTTTTTGCTAGAATCCACTTTCCTCCTTTTGCGGATTTTGCCCATTATTTTCCTACTTTTTGTTATATACCTTTCTCCCCACTTTTTTGTTTACATGTTTAAAACATCTTACTTGGGAGATGTATACTTTTAAGCTTAATGGCAAACTACAGGGAACCCAAAAATATAGGTCATAATTTAGGAAATATTAAGCATTTTCTAAATTATTGTCCCAGCAGACTGATGACTGATGACTTATGACCATAAGCATTTAGGTGGCTAAGTAGTAATTACAGAAACAGCTGTTAATTATTTGGATGTGGAAGTACAGCATTAGGTTGGCAATCTTCAGGTAGAGTATGTTCATCAATGGTCTAGCCCTGGATGAATCTGAATTGGTCCTAGCAGTTTTGTTTTTATAATCTCTTCATAAAGACAGCCCAGAAACCTATGACATTTAATTTCAATGTTTGTGATAGCCTGGCACCAATTTTTTCGAAAATTGAATACGTTAGGGCCTCACAAAGCCCAACTTCAACAAAATGTACATTCAAGATGAGGACCTTCTACATATCTTACAAATAAAGACAGCTCAGAAACCTATGAGATTTAATTTCAATGTTTGCGATAGCCTGGCATCAAATTTTTCGAAAATTGAATACGTTAGGGCCTCACAAAGCCCAACCTCAACAAAATGCACATTCAAGATGAGGACCTTCTACATATCTTACAAATAAAATACACTAACCTCTGACAGTTCACTCATACAAAAGTTGTGTCTTGTATTCAGACTGAATAATTACCAAGTACTTGGTAAAATGGACCAAGTATGCTTAATACTCGGTACAAACTGAGCATGTTTTAGTGCATCACTACAAGAAACTATCCCAGAACTATTCTGATTCCATGCAATTGGTTCTCACGATTTGAAACCGCATTATTATTAGTTAATGGTGGTTCAGAGTGGCTTTCGGATTATTCCCTCTATCCAAGTGAAACTAATAAGAACATCAACTTACTCATTTAGCTTGTAGATTTTTTCCGAGGTGAAAACCTCGTCTAGCAACTTGTTGGTATTTCTTCTTTCAGCAGCCAATAAAATACCGTCTTTGGCGAGAATGCCTAAGCAAGTACCAGCATGAGAAATAGCTTCCATCGCATATTCAACTTGGTAAAGTCTCCCTAAAATCATTAGTAGCCTATTAGAAATGCTCAATATTTTGTAAAATAATAACTCACCTTCTGGGGAGAAGATTGTTGTCCTTGTATCATATCTACGGGCCTAAAATAACAGAAAATATTCAATTTTTGTTGACGATGACAGTGCATCAAATGACAACATAACCACCAAACTGAATCATTGTAGATAAGTGTAAATGTATATGTGCTCCATATATTAATAGTTTTGTACCTACCATATTTCGTAATTATATCTGGTGTGATATTTATTCTAATGTACCGTTTATGTAGAAAAATATTTAGGAGAATCTTAAAAGATGACTTTTTATTTTTCCGGTGGATCTTGACAGGTTTGACAGGTCAGCTTGACATTACAGGCGACAAAAAAAACGAAAGCGTGATGTGATTCCGACTTGTCAAGTGAAAAAAAAGGCGTGTCTGATGAGCACCCTCTTTTTCCCCACTGGGAAGAACTGTCGCCACAACAAAGCGTGCCACATGCTCCGCTGTTCGATTTTCGTCCCCCGGCGCGCATGACGTCACGCGGAGAGTGATTATCATTTGGGTTAATATGGATAACGTGCCTTTTTTCACCTATAGGCCAAACGGCTGGACGGATTTTCACAAATGAAGTGTCGTTGGATTCGTCTTAGCGGTGCGAGTGACACTAGATACATTAAAATTTTATACAAACCAAAATGGCGGATTTTAATAAAAGATTTCAACCTTGTAATTCATATTTGATAGGCTACAGCTCAAACGGCTTGATCGATTTTCACATATGAGGTGTAGTTGGATTCGTCTTAGCGGTGCACAATCTACATTAAAATTTTATACAAAACAAAATGGCGGATTTAAATAAAAGATTTCAACCTTGTAATTCCCATCTCACAGGCTATATCTTAAACGGCTTTCTACAAAAACAAGATTTTTCTACATTACCTATATTTTAGTATGTTCTGTGGAGCAGGATTAACATGCTCATGACGTTAATACTGCAGTACATTTATTCATCCTTATTTCACAGAACATCTTAGGTACTAACTACATGCAAGTGTGAAAATGTACGCACCTCGAAAAATAGAAAAGTGGAGTTATCATCTTTTTACAGTAAGCTGGCGGTATAACAATAAATGGAAAGGACTTAGTCTAAGCCACAATTTTTGTCCATTTCCTTTCACGATTTTTCTGGTCTTTCAAACTTTTATTCAGTTCTTTGATCCGAAAGAACATCCTTGACCTGAAAAATAAATAAAATGCTTTTTCAGGGCAGTCAATGTTGCTGCTCTTCCCCATTGAATGTAGTAAACACCTTATTAAGCTTCTCAATTTGATTCATGAAAGATTTGGAAGATTTTGATAATCCACTCTCACTAAGATGGTCTATCCAGGACTAAGTTTCATTTGAGGAACTGTTCAACCTCTGATCCTGCACTTTATAGCAAACAAAGCCGGCCAAATTTTTCAGCCCATCGTACACGAGCTCATCCATTTCTTCCACTAAAACTTCCTCGTTATAGTCAGGTGATACTTCAGGTGCATTCAGTTTATTCGTTAATGATGCGGTTAGTGGAATGTCCGGAGTATTCTCTTCCTCTACGCTGCAATACTCTGAGTATGCGCCTTCGTTTCGCCCCAAAATATATGACCTTATTCTATACTTAAACTCTAGGGCATAAATTGAGCCCTTTGCCTCATTTCGTAAGCACTTTTCCGCTTTTCCCCATCAACAGATGTAGATGGTTCAGGTGATGATAGAGACTTGGGTAAATTTTCCATAAGAGTGGCATCATCTTTTAGAGCACGGTAACTTTTAGGGGTGTAACCCAAGAAGGTATGTTTTAAATTGACCTTATAGGCACTTTCACAAAAATGTTTCGAGCAAACCATTAACTTTGTCTTTTCTTTTTGTAAGATGTAGCCATTTCTTGCTAAGGTTTGGGTCTTGAGGAAATCTGTAGAACTTCATGTCTTTGCAAGGATTCCGTTTAGACTGGTTGTCGGAATTACATCCCACAACAGCACACCGCATTTTTAACAATTTATCAACCACACAGGATATATAAAGTATGTATAGCTAATACAACATGTTACAAAACCATTAAAAAACACCAACAAATCGCACTATATAGTATTAACCACGATGCACATGAACTGCAATAACGTTACGACAATCCTGCCGCTGGTCACCACGAGCCGACAACTCTCCGGGTGACTTCACGAAGCTCCGCCCACATGCGCAATATCCTATATTCAGTGTATGTGTATCGTGCCACGAAACCCATAAGACTAATGCGGGTCCCAAACGATGCTTCCAGCATTGTATACAACGTTGTTTACAATGTTCGAGTCCTCTCAATTGGCAAGTGTGTCTCCTACACGATGGGATGAACTTTTTAGTCTCGGACGTTAGACGCATGGTGGTGCCAACGTCTATTATAGGTGTCAGTGTCGCGCTTGAACCTTTACAACTGAAGGAAAAATTATACAAAATAAACAATTCTTTTGAGCGCCGGAAAATAATTTCAGATCTGTCCTCAGCGACCAACACTGTCAGAAGCCTCAAATATGACTAAAAACGAAGTTTGTCCGTTTTTTGTCTGTTTTTCGACGATAGCTCTACCGCCAGTGTACCGATTTTCAAAAACTGCAGAGCTTTTTCGACATTTTCATAGCAGAAACCTAGGGTACTTTCAGAGTTATCGTTTATTTAATCTTTTTCGTTAGTTATGAAATGGAAGTCAATACATTTCTTAACTAGTCTCGTATTACAACAGGACATTATAATGAAACAACTGTAAGCACTTGGTAATTTATAATTTACTAAAATACAAATCCTTAGGCCAGTCATAACTAACCTGCGAAACGTACAAAATATAGCAATATGAAAAAAGTGTTGTTATGGCAGCCTATGGTTTGTTTGTATACTGATTTAATCTATTCTCCTCAAAAGTTAGTTAAGGAACATACATTATTATGAAGAGGTAGGTATTCAAATCAAAATACCTACTTCCCACATACCACTACTTCAGTACTTCACCTCAATCACAGCAAACAAATAAATAATGTTTGTCGCCGGTACTGATTCTAACCTAAAACCAACAAACACATGGCATCTCGTGTGGGAGCGTAACGAACCATGCCTCCAACGTTGTAACGTCCTTTGACGCGGGCCAAATTTACCGACAAGAGCCCGAACGTGCCATGTGGCGTGGCGAACGCTGGACACATGCAATCCGTCAGCGCTCTTCCACACGATGTGGCGAATGGCCATGTGTCCAAAGTTGTAAGGCATTCGCCACATCGTGTGGGAGCGGTGTAATTAGAATTACCACATTATTATCACAGTGAACAAAAAAGTTGCTTTAGAAATTTTCTCTAAAGTTGATTGATGTCGAGATGCATGGGACTTGGTATTTCAAAAAGTGCAAAAATATGTCATTTTCAAGCCCGAACAAAACAAACATTTCAATGTTGCAAGTATTCCTAAATATTCATCAAATATCCATTAATAATATCTAAAAGTATTTTAAGCGGTATTTTTGTAACCCTTTGTTTTTTAATTGTTAATCAAGGGCGCGCCCAATGTCCAACGTAGAGGCTTGCGGCAAAAACAGTTGTTACTGAAATGCCCAAGAGAAAAACCTGGAAAATACTTTCAAGTTCCTGAAATGGCCGCTGGGGGCGTAAATGAAATTGTGAATCTAAAAAAGTGATGTTTCTGTGACTCCCGCTATATTAACCTAACAAAAAAAAACTGACCTCTAAATTCAATTTTGCTGTATGTCTAAAAAAAAGTGGTGGGGGTATTCAACGGTATCCTGTATCTTCGAAATGGTTGAGTCGATTTTCACAAAGTTGGGCTAGTTGAAAAGAGATATTCTTGGGCTACAAATTGTATAATATTTAAAGTTTTTTTAGTTTATAACCTAAAATTTAGGCTAAAGAAAATTTTATACGGAAATCCGTTAAATTTTTATTTTTTAACTAATTTTTATGGAATTTATTTTTTTTATTAAGTTGTTGCCCTAAAAATGACAGATTTAAAAAGGAAAGGTTTTTAATGCCCCCATAAATGCTCGAAATGCTGACCATCTCGCTCTATGCATTACTGAAGCCTCTCATAGGTAAACAAAACTGCAGCTTCAATTTTGGCACTCGGTACCTATGTTACGTATTGCATTACGAATCCGGTTTTTCATATCTTTTCTGGTTATATAGGTTGAGCCCCATGTCCATGGAAACAAACTTTTTTATCAATCCACAGCTCTTGAAATACTGCATTAATATGCTCTCGCACAATAATACCAAAATGTGCTGGGCAACCATCCAACTGCAAAAACAAGTTTTGCCGTGGCTCCAGTGGCACATCTTCCAACATCAACGATAATTGATTGTCCAAAAATTCATGACGAAAAACATTGCCATTTAAGGATTGCTCGAAAAAATATGGACCAATAATTCGGCATTCCAGTATGCCTCACCGCACATTTAAACTCCAACGCCCTTGGAGCTGAATTTCACGCAACCATTGCGGATTTTCTGCAGACTGGTAATGCATATGGTGCAGATTGACTCTCCCGTCACTATGGCTTCATCGATCCAAAGAATCTGAAATGAAAATTCTCGTTTTTCGCGTATCGGGGAAGAATCCCTCATATCGCATAGACGCGGATTTGGATATCGAGTCGCGAACTCTTTTTGTTACTGCGGTATTGTCAAGACATTAAAAATAGACTGCAAGCATACCAAGAGCTTCATCGTTCGTAAAACGCATTTGGTAAATACAAAAATTGCTAAAAGTAACGCGAAACTATGGATAATATGAGGATTATTTATGTTTTGATTAGATATTTGTTTTGTTGTACTCCAAGCCCCGCTTCTATTAATTGTCTTTTTTGTATACCTATACCCATAGTGAATAATATGCAACAAAAATTGTGCTTTTTTAATTAGCATTACTTATTACTTATCTTTTAGCGATATTTTGTAATGTTTCCAAAAGGATAATTTTGGTCTGATGAATAAAAAAGAATTCCAGAAAAATTCGTTTAAAAAATAAAAAATTTAATGATTTTCCGTATAAAATCTTTGGCCTAAATTTTAGGTGAGGAACAAGATATCGAGATGCGGTTTTCGCGAGCTCTTTTAGACATCCTTTAGCTAATTTTTCATAAAAAAGCATTTAATTTTCCTGAGATAATTAAACCATTTCTGTCGAAATGTTGAAAAAATCCCTCTAGCGGCCACATATGAAACTAACAAAACTGTTTTTAATATTATAACATTAGCTCAATGACAGCTTTTTTGAACTAGCCCAAGTGTGTTAAAATCGGCACAGCCGTTTTGAAGACGTTCTTTACGGAAACATTTGAATACCCCGCACCACTTTATTTTTAGAGATTCAGCAAAATTGTCGACTTAAAGATGAGGTATTCCTTTGTTAGGTTAATATAGCGGTATGCACAGAAACATCACTTTCTCAGGTTCAAGATTGCAGTTACGCAGCCAATTCAAAAACTTGAAAATATTTTCCAGGTTTTTCTCTTGGCTATTTTAGTAATTAATGTTTTTGCCGCAAGCCTCCACGATGGATATATAGGTTTCCAGATACAGCACCTCATATTATTA